CCAGGCTAAGGACACATGGGGACCGGCTGCACCCCCCATGCCTGCCTGCCTTGGCCACCGGGATGAGGGACCACCAGTCCTGGGGGAGCTTCCCATCGCTGCAGCCGAATGGAGGTGCCCCCACAGGACTCAGGATGAACAACAAACCTCCAATGAGCCCAACAGCCTCAGCAGAGAAGAACTGCACAAGAACTACCCAGGCTAAGGACACACGGGGACCGACTGCACCCTACATGCCTGCCTGCCTTGGCCACCGGGATGAGGGACCACCAGTCCTGGGGGAGCTTCCCATCGCTGCAGCCGAATGGAGATGCCCCCACCGGGCTCAGGATGGCCCCACCGGGCTCAGCCTCCTGTGGCAAAGCAGGCGATGGGGACACTGAGCCCAGCCAGCGTCCCTGCCCCAGAGGTGCCCAGGAGTTGGGGCTCCACACTGAGCCACCACCGCCCCGAGGCTGGGGGTGCCGCTGGCAGCCAGGCTGGCTCCACCACACCCTCTGAGATGCTGGGCACAGCCCTCACAGGTCCAGGCTTGCCGGTGGCTCTAGGGACGTGGCTCCAGGGACGTGGCTCCTGGAGCTGTGAACGTGGCATCTCATTGCAGCCTGCTGGTCCCAGGGCAGGACAAGGAGGGGGGGACATGGGGGAGCTGCTGGGGCTGACAAGCACCCACTCCTGGGATCCCTGGGCTGGGTGGTGGGTTCCTCCATGAAGCAGGCTTCCCCCGAGCTCCTTCCCGAGCAGGGTCACACCAGACACGCAGGAGCTGCTCCCCCTGGGTCTGCTCCCCACCGTGGTGCTCTGCCTCGTCTCACGGCGCTGATCAGACACACCTTCACCACAGTGACCCCACGGGATTAAGTTTAATCTCTTCCCAGGATGAGTGCACCAGTAGGGATTTTCCCACCCACACTTTTCCCAAGCCGCCAATATTTTAGGACGGCAGGAGACATCCCTGCCCCTTCTGGTTTCCACCTGGGGACAGCAGATCTGCAGCTCCATCTCCTCTGCTGGGAAAAGGGAAAGGGGAAGGGACCATCTGCATGGTGCTGGGGCGGGAAGGGGATGCTGGTGAGCCGGGGGGGGGTTCCCCTGCATGGGCTGCAGTGTGAGGCACAGCATGGTCTGCTCATCTCCAGACATCAAACAAAGTGGATCCTTTTACTGGGGTGTTGGTGGGTGCTGTAGGGGAGGCACAGCCTTTCCCAGCCCTTGCAGACGCCTTTCAGACCCCAGGACACCTCTGTAAAAGCACCCAAGAGCTTTAGCTGCAATAGCTGGGATGAAAAACACCACAACTAATGTCTCGGTGATGCTTTCTGTCAACCCTTCCCCTAAGGAGCAACAAACCTGGGCTGGGGAGCACCCCGGGGAGCGCCTGATCCCGCCTGAGGATTCAGGAGCTGGTGGCACCTCCAGGCGTGAAGTTGTTTCGGTCCCTCCTCCCCATTCCTGCCAAGGGCCCGGGGCCCTCAGCTGCTCTGAGGCTCTTGCAATGCACTGGGAAAAAAACAAAAAGGGAAAAAAAAAGAAAAGAGAGGAGAAAGAAAAAAAAAAAAGAAAATAGGGAAAAAAGATAAAATGGGGAAAAAATAAAAGAAAATAGGGGAAAAATAAAAGAAAATAAGGGAAAAATAAAAGAAAATAGGGGAAAAAATAAAAGAAAATAGGGGAAAAATAAAAAAAAATAGGGGAAAAATAGGGGGGGAAAAGAAAATTAAAAAAAAGAAAATGGGGGAAAAAGAAAATTAAAAAAAGATAATAGAGGGAAAAAAGAAAATTGGATCCATGCTTCTCGACCTGTCTGCAAGCTGAGGCACCTCCTGCCCGCACAAATCTGGCTGTTAGAGCATCGTCCTGCACCCTTATGGTTAATGGGGGCTTTTCCACAACTCCAGCAGGATGGAGCCAGCCCTAAACCAACGCTTTGATTATCTCTTGCCCACAAAGAGCAAGGGGCACTTAGGTGGGTGTTAAAGGGAAAAAAAAAAAAAAGGAGAAAAAAAGACAAACTCTTATCAACCAGCTGGATTTCCTGCCCATAGCACCACTGCTATTCCCAGTCCCGCTTCTTGCCGAGGATTGCCCACCCGCGGCCGGGGGACTGTCATTAGCAGAGCCCCCCCACCCCAAAACCCGCTGCCCAGGGGGAGCCCCGGGGGTGCCAGGGCAGCGCTGGGCCGTGCCGGGAGGGGTTTGCCCAGGAGGGGGCAGCAGACCCCCGGCCAGAGGGAGCGACAGGCACCGGGAGCCCTGCCGGGATGGGGGGGGGTGTCACGGGTGGGCACAGGGGCTCCGCGGGGGCTGGGAGGCAAACAGGGGGGGGCACGGGCAGGGAAAGCGGGCAGCGGCAGCGTAGAGTTTGGAGCCGAAATACAGAACAGCCCCCGTTACACCCCAAAATGCAACTGCTGGTGCAAAAAAAAAAACCCCAAAACCCACCCTCCTCACCCCCGGGGGGTGGGCAACACTGCTCCATCACACTGCAGCCATCCCACACCCCCATTTCTCCACGTCTGTCCAAAATACAACCCTCAAGAAGCCACTTTGGTTTGCACACGTAATGGGTTTGGCCCCCCCAGAGACACCAGACCCCCCCCCCAGAGCTGGCACCCAGCAGGATGGGACAGAGAAGGGCGAAGGAGGAGTTTTAGCCCCAGTGACAAGAACATCCCTGCACCCAACGATAACGAAGGAGGAAGGTTCTCACCCAGCAGACCCCAGCCCCAAGGACAACCTGCTCACCTGGCCAACTGGGAGCCCACCAGTGTCCTCCAGCCCCAGTGGGCAGGGGGCTGCTGGGACCCCCATCCCCTCAGCTCTCCTTGCTTGCCCTGTCCCCCTGCCCAGCACCCCGAGGGCTGGGGGATGCTTGTGGGAATCACCGTGTCTCCATGGTGCAGGAATTGTCCTCTCCTGGTCTCTGGGTGTCCTACCCAGAGATGTGGGTGCCCTGTGCCCCTCTGGAGGGTTGGAGGTGGTGGGGACAGGCACTGCAATCACCAAGACTATTACACACCATCTCCCTGACCCATTTTGGCACAACACAGCACCCGCCCCAACGCCATGGCTCACCCTGTGAAACAAGGGACCCAGACACCCGTGGGCTCCACCTCAACATCTCCCTGGAAGCTGTAAAGAGAATCAAGCAAGGTTATACCTCATCTTCCAGCTCCTCCTCTTGTTCCCCCCAAGACTCTGCTGCCAGGGAGCATTTGGGAAGGGCAGATCTGCCCGTGGCCACTCGGTCACATCACCCCGGGAGGGTTCCAGCTATTTTTCAAGCCAGGAGCAGCAGGTCCTCAGGGGTTTGGTTTTAGGAGGAAAAACAACCGGGTCAGAGCTGGTCAGTGCTAGCAGGAATTTGCAGGAATTCAGGAGGCATCCTCCCCTCAGCTAACAGCAGATAGAGGCCGGCTGGCCGGGGGGGGGCAGAGCTGCAGACAGGGGGGAGCAGTGATAAATTCACCCCGGGACCCACGGCTCTGCAAGCACGGGCAGGCAGCCAGGCTCACGCTGCGGGGATTTGCAGAGAACCCGGCCAGATTGCTTTTGCAAAAACAAGGCACTTTTTACGCTGAGGGCGGTTTTTGGAAAGTACACGGGATTCTTGTAACAGACAGATGAAGCCCAGGAGAGAAAGGAAGGGGAAAAAAAAAAGAAGACACACAAACATACATTGTTCCAAGGAGCACGTCCAAGAACCCGTCACAGCCACACGAGAACATGAAGATCACAGGAATACGTCACCCGGTTACTGACAAACAGCAGCTCCCACGGAGCAAAGACCAGCCCTGTGATCATTTGGCTTCTTCTCGGTACCAGCAGCAGATTCTCAGAGGACCTTCGAGAGCACATCGGTGACGGAGCAGGCAACGAGCAGCAGAGGAAGTGGTTGCCTCTCCCTCACCCCCCATGGGAGCCCATGTACTAGTCCTAATCTGTTTCCTCCATCCCTGCTAATCCTAAACCACCCAGAGCAGGAGTTCCCAGCAGGGAGAAGGGAATTAGATTTTCTCGAGGAGGATAATCCCTTTAAATACAGCACCTCGTTGGAGACCGGGCACCCTTCCCAGCGAGCAGCCCCGCTCTCGGCACAGCCCGACCTTTCCTGGGGACACGAGAGGTGGGTCCCGTCCTTGGGGAGCACCAAACTGCCAGAGCAGAGGTGCTTGGAGAAGCAGCAGCTTCCCCCAGAGTCTTGCTTAAGACCAGAGCTGCTTTAGTCCAAAACATCATGAAGCCCCCTGTGAAACTGCAGGTCTACCCCAGCTTGAAGGCCCCCATCAGTTAAACAGGGTTGGCTCGAAACTTGGTGGAGCAAGACTCTCCATAGGATCATAAACTGCAGGTCTACCCCAGCTTGAAGGCCCCCATCAGTTAAACAGGGTTGGCTCGAAACTTGGTGGAGCAAGACTCTGCATAGGATCATAGGAATCATAGGATTGTCTAGGTTGGAAGGGACCCTTAAGATCATCGAGTCCAACCATTAACCTAGCACTGCCAAGTCCACCACTAAACCATGCCCCTAAGCACCAGGTCTACCCATCTTTTACCCATCTCCACACATTGCTCCCCTATGTCTGAGGGCATAAGAACATGCTGCTGTCACCAGGAGACATGCACAAACCCATCTCTAACCTCCCTCTGTCCCTTCTGGCTGCAAGGGGACAGCCCTCTCCAAGTGCCACCACAAAACCGATCACCAGAGAAGGGATGGACTCACCTCCTTGCGCCATGCCGCATCTGCTTTACTTGCCTGGAGAAGCTTCAGTAGCTCCAGAACCCCCACAAGGCTGGTCTTACAGGAGTCACCAGTGGGTCAGACACTGGAGACAGCTCGGGAGCAGCTGACAAAGCCCCTTTGAGCCACAGGCCACCACCAAGCCAGATCCCGGTGTGCCTCCCCCCTCGGTAAACCAAGAAGTTACACAAACACGAGCTCCCTGTTATCCAGCTCCCAAAAGTAATTGCGGATCAGAAACAGTCCAAAAAGCCAATTTTAGAAAGTACCAGTTTATTTGAGGGGAAAAAAAAATTGAAATAATGAATCAGTAACAGTGGAAAATCCCCAAGAGCAATTACACAAGAGAATGTGAACATCCCGAGCAGCAGACCCCGCGCCGGCCTTCCTGGCAAGGGCTGTCCACGGGCAGTGAGGTCCTCCCTCGCCCTCCCAGTCCACAGTGAACCCTGTGCAGTTTTTAGAGCCTCCCAGAGCCCTCAACTTCCCCGAACTCACTGGTACTGGGACCAGGCGAGTGAGCCAAGGCGGTGGAGGAGCCCTGGGAGAAGTCCTATCACACCAATTTCTCAATACAAGGCTCCCTGGTCGGTCCCACCTCCCCTGCCTGGTCCCAAGAGGCAGCCGCCACCGCCTGAAGCTGAATTTCTTTGTTCTATGGCCTCAACGAATTTGGCCTCCAGCCTACACCAAAGCCCCAGGAAGGAAGCTTCAGGAGTCGATGAGATTTCTCAACCCTCTTGTTGGTTTGGGTTTCTTTTGCCCTGCCTGCCCAGTGACACAGTCTGGGGACCCACGCTCAGGTTTTGCCCTAAACCTCAGCAGCCCCAGGGAGCTGCAGCAGGACACGGCTCACACCAAGTCCTTCTGTAACACCTTCCTGAAACGGAGGGGTCAGACACACACCTTACCCTTTGCTCTGGGGGAACACAGCTAACTCTCAGCAGAGGTAGGAGCTACGAACAGGATTCCCTAAGGAAAACCCACCACAGAAAGGTTCAGAGGAGTTGCCACCAAGGCAGGCTTGTAGCCACCAACACCACCCTTCTGCAGGAGGAGGCACCCAGCTGGGTACCGCAGGGGACTGCAGCCCAGCCAACCCCAAAACAGAGAGATATTTTCTCCACACTGTGCCCTTCCAACACTTGCCTCAAAAAGAGAAGGGATTTGGGGAACTCTGCTCCAACCGGCACATCACCGGCCACAGCCTGCTCCGTGTCCCCTCCCAGGACACGCCACCGAGCCCCAGGGCTGTGGCAGCTCCCGGCTGCCTCCCCCAAAAAAGCCACCCATGCTCCAGGAGAGACACTGGACAAACAGCAGGACAAACAGATCGAGCCTCTCACACACAGTAAGGCTGCTGAAGAATTAACTCCAGCCTTTTCACTCTTACCTTTATATTTCTCAGTAAAATATATAATATATAGCTCTATAAGACTGATTATAATATATTACAGGCTAGAAATACTCTCGTCTTTCCCCTACTTCAATCATATTATGAGTCCAATTTTGCATACAGATTAATCCTAGAAGTTATTGCCTTGAATTTATAATTAAAATTCACAGAATAAAGCTTAAATAGTTTTCACAAAGACTCATTATATTAGTGTTTTACATAAAAAGGATAAAAGTTACCAAATGAGAAGAGCAGCCGTTTCAGACACTATAAATAATTCTATTTAAAAAAAAATAAAAATCAAATCCTAAAAAAAGTTACAGGGAAACCATAAATATCTTTACCCTCTACAGTAGCTGCTATGGAACTAAAAGAAACCTGTAACAAACTGTAGCTAACTCTGCTTCAGTTCAGAATGTGAATCATATAAAACAACTTTCTCTAGAGAAATGCCCGGCCAAAGGAAACACAAAGGGATTGAAAAAATAAATCTGAGGAAATTAAAAAAGTAGATTATTTTTTTTATTATTTCAAAACAATTTCTACAAACTTTATATAAACATTAGGCTATTTTCTTTAAAATTTTGTTATAAAAAAAATATCCTACAAGCAATCCTTTAAAAAAGGTAAGAGACTGAAGGCAAGGAAAGGGTGTTGTCATAGCCAGAGGGAACTGGCTGTCCTGATTTCATGGATTAATGACCCTTGCCTGGGGCCGACAGGAAGAGACAGGAGTCTCCTGGGGAAGACATTCCCATAGGCCCTTTATGGCATCCAGGGATTCTGAGCCCCTCTGGGCCTTCTGCTCCCTGGTAAGGCAACGTTATCTGTAGTGTAAGAGATTCATAAATAGCTCTCCACAAAAAACGCTTCACCTCAAGAGCCTGCTGGAAGACATCTATGAGCAAGGTTGGTTTGTTTTGTTTGTTTTTTTTTTTTAAAAAGCCACCTTCTATAGAAGCAGCCAATCTGAGCACAGCACACTGGATGCAAACACACGGTGTCTGCTTCCATACAGTCTGTTTTGTGTTTACACACCCTCTATAAAACCAAGCAGAAAATTTGGCATCTTTATTCTTTTTACACTAGCTTTAGACAAAAATACACTGAGGTGTTTTGGTTTTTGTTTTTTTTTCAGACTCTTTGTATTTCATTGGGCCCTTGTTAGCTGAGCAGGATGGGAAGGGTCACGTAGGAAGTTTGTTTTTTTCTCAAAGTCACTTTGAAATTCAATCCAGAAAGAGCATTTGTTCAGCACATCTCATCTGAGGGCACAGTGTTTCCATCCAGTCTGTTTGTCCCTTGATGGGCACAAGGTGCTGCTGAGCTTTAAGCATAGAACTCATTTGTAGGGGCTTTCTTGTAGATGGGTTTCTTCCCCAGGTCGTAACTGCCTTCATCCTTTTTCTTCATGCGATAGACTAAGAGGAGGATGAGGAAGATGGCAAAGAGGAGGCCCACTGCCCCTCCTGCAATGAGAGCTGGGGAGGGAAAAAGAGCATGGAATAAGCATAAACTCCTGGACAACTCTAAGCCATCAGCTACACCCCAAAATTCTGCTTCAAGAGTGCCAGTCCCCAGAACTGCCTCCAGAGCCCAGGCCCTCCATGTGCCTCTCGCCGTATGTGATGGCATCTTCAGCGACAGCAGATGTTATTGGAAAAGGCCAGAAATTGCTTTTCATCCAACTACAGAATAATCACATCCCACACTAACCAGTTGGTGTTAATATTCCAACTTAGTGCAAGAAGGAAGCTTTGACAGAGACATCCTCCGCTCACAGAGACAAGAAACAACAACAAAAAAAACCACCCCAAAAATCCCCACCACAACCCACAAACACCCTCAACTCCAAGAAAATGGTATAGCTCTGACTCAAACAGTTTTGAACTACCTGTGTGAGCGCGCTCTGGGGACTCCACGTTTCAATTAAAAAGCAACATCCCACTACTACCACACCACCTCCCTCCAAAAAACCCCCACCAACAAAAAAACCACAAACCCACAAAAAGCCACCAAGATTTTCTCTCTCCTCACACCAAAGGGGGCCACAAGGCTTCAGTGGTTTATCCTTTGCTGCGACACCTCCTCTTTGCACTAAATCAACTTTTTTTGCCATGTGGCTTTCCAATCCACTCTCCCAGTCCCTCCTCCAGCTGGAAGGACGGCTGCAGGGCACCAGGATGTGCTGAGGTTTGGACTCAGACCATCAGGCCAAGTGGTGGATGAAATGTGCCTTGAGATAGAGCTATCCCACAGGCTGAGGGGAAGCCAGTCACTTGGTTTTGCTCTAGACAAAGGTACTTAAATTCATTAATAGTTGACGAGGTGTTCAAACCCCTCAGAGGAATTGTTTGGTTCCTGACAAGGCTCAGAAGAGGGAGGACTTGGGCAGAGGTTAGAAGGAAAAAGCCTGCATTTGATATGAAAGTCCATGATGTCACTGATTTATGGCCGATACAACTCTCACTGAGGGAGTATCTGTGTGCAGAGCAGCTGCCACATGATTTGCGTGGCACGTCAGCCACCAGTCAGCTGGCAGGCCCAAAACCAAGCTGTTTACCCCAGCCAGGCATGTGGGAGGCTCTTCTGCTGTTCAAGGACCACAAGGGAGAAGTGACCCTGCCACAGAGGTAACGCATCTCGCTTCCCTTGTCAGTGGGGAGCTGCTCCCCAGGATCGATGATCCCAAGGGTCTCTTCCAACCTGAACGATTCTATGATTCTATGAAAACAGGGGATGACAGAAGCCATTTTGATTTAGAATATTAATGGTTTATCAGGAGAAGGTGGAGCATTACCTGTAAGGACTTCCGTTCTTTCAAAGATGCTGCTGTTGGCTGTGCTTGCCATGGAGATCTTGTTGGACAGGTTCTCTTCGACAGGTACAGCTTTGTCTGGAATGATTTCGTTGTCCACCATTGTGTTTTTCTCCTCACCTTCTATCTTTGTCTCGGTATCTCCAGGGATATAGTTGTCAGATATCTACAGAATACAGACAGACCACACCCATCAGCAAGCAGCACCCAGCCTACCCACAATTAAAAATAGAAGGGTGTGCAGGGAAAGGAAAGTTTGCTTAGTGCATTACGAGTACACGGTTCCTGCTCATGCAGGTAGATTCATCCTGATACCACATCTTGCAAGGGGAAGGGTATTTAGAAACCTCCATGGACAGACCAGAGAAGCTACGTGTTATTTAGAACATGCAGAGGTAATACCTACCACAGGAGTATCTATGGTGGTCAGATACATGGCATCTTCAGAGTCTGGGTAGTCTGCAGAGGAAGGGAGGGAATAAATAAAGTTTAAAAGAAATAGAAGAGGACACAATTTTCCTTTTATTACTTGCTATTTTTCCAGAATTCAGACACTTCCTGCAACACCAGCAACTGCAGACAAACTAGGACTCAAGTTCTGACTTCAGTTCCCTCTTATCTACTAGTACTTTCGCCGCTTAATGACTGTGATTGCACAAGACCATGAGATGTAATCTGAAGGCCAACACCTCTCGCAGGGGAGGGCTCTTCAGCTGGATCCACCAGCCCCTGGTGCAGATTCTCAGGAGCTGCCCTGCAAAGCAGGTCTGCCATGGCTTGCTGAGCTAACGCCGATGGAGGGCAACGCTCTCGCCACCCAGCCCCGAAGGGTGGTTCACCAACCCTCTAGTTACAAGATCTGCCCAAACATGTCAGGCACCCATCGCAGCACTTGTTCTTTCCCTCTCAGAGAACAAGTGTTCACATAAAGGGGACACGGAGCACAGAAACTGGTTTGGGCAGGGAGGCTTTGCATGTCACACAGAGTTCACCTGAACACCAGTTAGTCCTTTACCTTGTTTGGCCTCAGCTGAGACACTAACTTTAAGCTTTTTAACACTGCCTCAACTATAGATTTTTTTAATATTTTTTCCCCCCCCAGTGTCTCAGAAGTTCTTTGGAGTTCAACAGGAATGAGGTTCAGCCAGTGCATTGCCTTTTCACTTGGAGCCCAGACAAGATTGTCTCACTGCATCTGTCCTCCCCACGAGTGATTCAGTATCACGGTACAACCACTTTCACTGCTCTCATCTGTGAGTGCCTACGACTCATGAGGCTCTCTCATCTCCACCTGACACTGCAGTTCCCTCTGGAGCTCTGGCTGTGCACTTAGCCCATCACTCATGACTGGTGGCACTGGGAAGAATTGCACAGCATCAACCAAAGAAGATCCATTTCCTCCCTTCCCCACTTACCTCCAGACCCAGAAACCTCATCTAGATCCAAATCATCAGATGTTAAGTGAGGTCTGAATTCGCCAATGTCTTCATCATCTGGCAAGTCTCCAGAGGCAAGGTAGTCAAGCCATCCAGCATCCATGGTCTCAGTTTCTCTCACCTGAAAAACAAAGTTTGAGAAGCTATTAGTATCAAGTAACTCCTGAGCAGCATTTTACAAAAGGTCAGGGGTTCAGAGCCTGTGCTGAGCACATCACTTCCATCAGAAGAACATTAAATGCTGAACTTCCTCTCCACCAAGAGCATTATTGTCGTCAGCCTGGAAATAGCTGAATTCCCCTAGAATTTTTCAGAAGAGAAGTGAGTGCCTGCCTGCGAGTGGAATTTCCTGAGCGCTACAGATTGAGAAGGTTCACTTGAACCCACAGGGTGAAAATAACACAACAGGATCTTGGTCAGGAGTTTGTAGCAAAAGCATTTGGAAAAGCGATACCTTCAGTTTGTGATAAGAGGATCTGGAAGGACTCGCTATTCCCAGAAAAAAAGCCTGGCACCTGTAGGTCATTTTTTTGCAAGCACAGGAGCTTCACACCACAACAGTTAGTTGCTTTTTGTATTCTGAACAAACCTACTTTATCACCCAAGGGTTAAAACCTCGCCTGTCAGTTCAGCTGAACTGCAGTGCAATATAGTGTGACGTTCAAGAGCACTTGCTATCAGTAATGACTTGCCCGAAGGAAGAGCTTCCCCTGCCTCACCTCTTAAAACGCATGTAAACAAACAAGTCTATAAAATGAAGTCCACGATCCTGTGGCCGGGTGGCTGCAGCTACAGACACACATTAGCCAAAGCACAGAAGAGCCTCCTAGAGAATCAGCTCTTTGGCCACAATGGCCACTTGAACACCAGAGCTCATTTGCACTTGGCTTCAAGGAGCCACAAGTTTAAACCTCCTGCCCTCACCGAGGTTACGCAATTTCCCCAGAACTATTTCTCCTCCCCTCACAGCCCCGGGGCCAGCCTGGGTGAGGGTACCACAGGTATGAGCTCTCAGGTTGCTCAACACCAGCCCCAGATGCTTCCACAGCCATGAAGTCATCATCGTGGTGGGGGACTCAACCCCTTCCCCTGTGGCAAGAAGCACAAGGCAGGCAGATGGGTCCCACAGCCAGGGGCTACACTGTCACCATTTTTCCATGCCGTCCCCACAGAAACACTGGGAACACCTTCCCTGAGTGTCTCCCAGAACTTGGGCTCAAGGTTTAACTACCCAGGAGAGAGTTTTAATGCCTTCCAGTCCTGCACATCCAAAGGGTCTTCTTAATGTAGGGGTTTACCATAAGCTACAGCCTCACAGGGGGTGAAAAGCAGAGACTCACAGGGACAGTTAGAGCTGGGTGACACCAACCCAGCCCCAGCGCTTGCTGCTTCATCAGGGCAGCAGCAGTGAGACCCTGAGTATGAGATAAAGGGTTCTGCAGCTCCAGAGGCTGGGACCAGCCTTCCTGCTCACCTGGCCATGTGTGGCCCATCCTACAGCCCAGAGGTGACCCCAACTGATGAATTACACCCACTATCAATCTCACAAGTGAAGGTCAACAATCAGCCATAAGCCATGTGTCAACTTCCTCTGCCCACAGCCCCAGCCCTGCTTCCAGCCCAGATTTCCCAGCCCAGTAGCACACTGGTTTTGCCACAAACAAGGTCCTGTGGTCAGGATAAGATGTTTCTCATTTTGTGTAAGGAGCGGTGGCTACTGGATGTGCTTATTGAGGCATCTTTGGTTTCCCCAGCAACTCTGCTGGAGGATAACCAAATGAGCAGCCTGGAGGGCATGAAGTGCTGAGGCCAGCTCTCCTCCTAGACCCCCTGTCTCCGCTCTGCCCGAGCCTGGCACTAGGTGATGGCAAGGGGGCTGAGGAAGGAGGCCAGCTAGGGGAAAAAAAAAAAAATCCCCTCCCAGCCTGGAACCAGGCATTCCTAACGTTATGGATCACTCGCTCCAAGGCAAATTCATTTGGAGATACGTGAAAGCTGGCCAAAGGCAGACCTGCCATGGAGACTGCTGCCAGCACGCAGTAGCTGTTCCCATGAGAGCGAGAGCTTCTGGCCATTTCATCAAGGGGCAAGAGGAGCCCAATTCCCGTCTGCCCGAGCCGGGGCACCGGGGAGCACGTTCGCTGCAGTTCCCTGTAACGCGGCTGCTGCGTCAGGGCAGATCAATGTTGGCAAAAGCGCCGTGCCAAGCCGCACCCCTGTGCCAGCTCACGCCGTACTTCATTATGAATCACAGCCAGCTAATGTCCTAACGAGGGCGGCTCAAGAAACCCCTCGTTTAGGCCACCGAGTGGTTGGCCAGCCCGAGTGGTTGGCCAGCCCGCTGGCCTTATCAGATCAGCCCCAGCCGCAAGCAAAGCGGTGGCAGCCAGCCACGGTGATTAGCACATACTGTGGAACGAACCAGGTCTGGCTATCAGAAAAACCTTATTTAAATCAGGACAGACAGTGTTTACAAGCCAGAGGACATAACAAGGAAATTACTGACTCACAAGCGTAAATAAGATTATGTGGGAGCGTTCCCTGAACTCACTCTTCATCATACTCTTGAGCAAGGACAGGGGAGTTCCTGGAAGCCATGAGAGCTGCTCAAATCGTACAGGGCAGCGAGCTTCATTTTACAAATTCTTCTTTCTGCCAGGGAACTCAGAGGGCTGCTGGGCATTGCTGTACCTACCCTCCAGGTTTGGAGACGTGCTCTCCTTGGGAGCAGGCTCCTCCTGGGAGCTGGGGCATGGACAGCCTGGGAAGAGTTAACGCTGGAGTGCTGTGCTCCAAGGGCAGGTCTGGAGCAGGCACATTCCTCACATACACACCTGTGAGAGGGCACACAGGCACTTTCACAGACTTAACAGCAAGGGCTTTGGGCTTCCCAAGTGCCACACAAAGAGCTCTTAGGAGTATTCCTTTAAAAGTGCATCCCTTTCCAAGGGGATTCAGTCCTCCTTACAGCTCCACTACCAGGTGAAGGGGAACCACAGAAGGTGCCCATGCTTCCTCTCAGCTGGTAGGTTGCAGCCAAGAGGAAAAAGCTAGGAGTCTGCTGCAGGATGATGGCCAGCCCTTGCCAAGTTGTCTCTGGCCACATTCAGCTTAACACCTTCTGCAACAGCCAGCTGGAGAAGGGCACCAGCACTGCCCAGGGTCTGTTTTCCACCACCTGCCATCCCAGCACTGGAGCCGGGCCAGGGACTTACTGGGAGAGTCGGACTGGGCGGCTGCATAGCCCCACCTCGCCCCAGCAGCTGAAGTCAAGCCCTGCTATTATTAATATGCTCCTCTCTAGGAGGGGTCTGTACAGAAATCAACCTTTTCTGCAGGAGTCTAGCTCCAGGATTTCTTCCTCGCATCAGGCAGGTTTATCCCCAGTAAGCACCATGGGGGGATTAACCCATGTGCTGGGGAGCAGAAGCTTTTCCTGACTGCCAGTGGCAAAAAAAAATTTAAAAAAAGGGAAAAAAAAAAAAGAGTTTATTCCCTGCCAGACAACCAGCACGTCAGGCACGTGAACTATGAGCGTCATTCCTGGAAAAGCCGGGCACAGAGGTCTCGTGTTTGAGGCCGAGAGAGGCTGCGCTGCCGGATGAAGCCAGACACTGTTTACTCAGTTCAGGCACAGGAATTGCACCCCTGGCACCCCAGGCAGGGGCTTGCAGCCTTGCAGGGCTCCATCCCCAGCCCACCCCACTCCCCTTTGTGCTCCTGGGGCCTTCACTGACAGCCCCAGCATAGTACTAGCTTCTTCTCAAAGCAAGAACATCTTATTTATTGGGGCAGCAAGCACAGTTTCTGTCTGATGTGTGAATTTCCCCAGCTGCTGTCTAGTTCTGGGAAGTAACAAACCCAGGCACCTCCACCTCCTCACCCCACCGCCTTTGCAAAACCTTTCAAAAAAAAAAAAAAAAGCAAAACCCAAATGATGTTTTGGGGCACAGACACAGTTTTTCAGGCACAAAATTGATTTTATGGCTGGTCTTGTCTGCGATGAAACACACCAGAGGTCATTAAAAGCTTCTTTGAAGGGTGACAGCCAGCAAGCTGCAAAAGGAGTTGGACCCAGAGAGACTTGGGTACCCGAAGTGCAGGGAGCTCTTTATCAAGTTTACAGCTCTGCTGTGCAGACCCAGCGCTCGCTCCTGTGTTGCCCTCCCCAGCGCTTGTGTACACAAGTCTAGGAGTCAACAGGAGCAAGGTGAAAGTCAGCCTTTTCTAGACAAAAGCACATGGAGCTGGGCCAGGCTGGGAGGCAGCAGAAGAGGGGGCAGAGGTGCAGACCTGTTAACTCTTTGTAGCCTGCGAGGACAGATAAATGCAAGTGGTTCCTGGGGCTTCTGTCAGGGGCTCTGTACCAGGGGACGGTTGTATGGGTCACCTTGTGAGGAGTATTACACAATACATCTTTCCCAAACCTGTGCCATCACGGGCAGATGTCATCTAACACCACCAGGATGGCACATCCAGGTCAATTCAAACAAGAAAGGGCTCCTGGACGACACAAGGAGCTGCCTGCATGGCCCAGCCTTGGAGCTTGGTTATTATTAAGAGATGATTCTGGCAAAGCCACCAGCCTGGCCCTCGTGCTGTCCCACATCATGGGCCAAAGGGTACCGAATCCAATGGGGCCTCTGCAGCAGAAGGATGCAAAGCTCTGTAAACCACCCAACCCGAGAGAGGGGATTTCCATACACTTCCCTTCCACCGAACTCTTCCACCAAACACACAAACCAGGAAGGTTTTAAAGCTCATGCAAAGCGTGCAAAGAAGCAGGAAGCACACCAGCCCCCCGAAACCAGGGGAGTGGAGGAACCAAGCAATGCTGAAAATGCTCAGATGGGTACGAGCTGACCTCCAAGGGAGGGGGGCACACAGCGAGGTAACAGGCAAAGACAGCTCTATCTTCCCATCCTAATAAGCGTTAAAAGAAAGTTATTAGAAGTGACATGAGCTTCCGGCAGAGGCAGCTCCTGCCAGACTAGTAAGGGAAGGGTCTATGTTTCCCCTCAAACCACCCTTTACTCCCTCCCCTCCCTCCAGGCTCCAGCTCCATGGAAGGGAAAAAAATGAAAAAAAGTCACTTTTGTCCTGAGAGCAAAGCAAATATTG